GCGGGCAGCGCCGGGGCGAGCCCCGCCTCCGGGAGAGGCAAAGGGGCTGCGGCTCCGCTCCCCTCGCCCAGCCAGGGCTCCTTCCAGCAGCGGGACGGGGGGATCGTGCCCCCGGGCTCTGCAGGGCACAGCGGGGCCGGGAGCGCATTTCCCGGGGGAAGGGCAGCCCAGCTGGTGCAGACCTCGTGTCCCTGCTACCCAAAAAAACCGTTACTTTTTTCTTTGCCCCTTTATAAGGGAAACACAGAAAACTCACTTATGTTCACATACGAGGCAAATCAGTGAAGCAGCTGATTTTTCAAACAGCAAGAGACCCACTTGATCCTTATCACACAGTTAATCAGCATAAGCAAAATAACATTGACATACCTGGGAGGAGCTGGGGGCAGAGCATGCAGGTAAGGAGCCAGAGATATCCTGAGCCCATGCCAAAAGAATTCATGTGCAAACATTACACAGAAAACTCTTTGTAACCATAAATTAAACTTTCCTAAATAAAGCAAAAACACTGAAAAACATTTCTATACAGCTAACCCACCCCTCCCACATAAAATATACACTTTGGTGTGCACTAACACTGTCCTCAGACCAAAGTAACACCCTACAGCCACATCCCCAAGGGCAACCTCTCTCTTTTTTATCCAGATGACCAGATTGAACCTTGACCTCTGCATCACCCCTGTAATCCTTTTAGAGAGGAAAACATGCAGGAAAAAAAAAAAAAAAAAAAAAAAAAAAAAGCATTTCTCCCTGTTGTGTTTTGGGTTTTTTTAGAGCAATTCTTGCCTCCCAGCTCACACAAAAATCTAAAGTATTTTTTTCCTTAATCTCAAAAGGGAAATGTATTGGCTAAGAAAGACAACGTCAATCTGTGCCTCCACCCACCTCCTATTAAACTGATACCCTCCTAAAAAGCTGAGGCTCTCAGGTGTTTTTCAGTTACAATTTGCTTTTCCCTGCCACAGGTGCAGTTGGTACTATATCTAGGTTTATGCTGTTTATTAATGTTTCAAAAGAGCTGCTTCTATTCACCACTTGAGGCTGTATTTAGGCAGTACTTGAAATGTGAAGAAAGAGATGTGGGTGGGATGGGACCAGCTTCCCAGCATAAAGATCTGCTCAGCAAGAGCTGAGGGCAGAGGCTTTCTGGGGTGATGAGAAGATACTCAGGCCAGTTTTACACCAACTTCAGTGAATTAGGCTGAGTCCTTATACCTAACTGTGTTTACTGTAGGATAACAGGTTAAGTGATGTGCCAGCAAGTGGAGTTTATTACTTCTGGGCTTTTTGGGCAGAGAATCACTGAGCAATCACTGTGGAGGGGTCTGTGGGGCTCTTGAATGCCCTCGAACCAGAGCCACAGCAGCACAGGATGGACTGTGTGCCAGGATGGGCTGAATTTAGTGCTTTGACAGTGTAGGAAATTAATTGGAGCTGGTGAATCTCTTACTGATTATAGGAATTATGTAAAGCAATCTGTAATCCACACAAATTGGGTTATGTTTATCAAACAGTAAGCATTCAGGGTACAATGGTGAGAGCCCACTTGTTTCTCAAGGCCATCCCACCATTTTCAGCCTCTGGGCTGTGCTGGGAGGGGGTCAGGGCTGGTGGGGGCAGGGGGTCAGGTCCTCAGGGCTGCAGGTCGCTGGCTGGGGTGGGATCCTGGGCTGGTGGGGGCAGGGAGCTGGTGCAGGCAGCCCTCGAGGGAATGACAGATGAGGTGCTGCAAGGACACCTGTGTGTGCTGATCCGTGTCCACCTCAGCAGGGCCTCAGAAATGGAACAATCCAGCAGCCATATGGCTTTGTTTTGTAGAAAAAAGCAGCAGGTATTTTCAAAGACATGGTAATAGGTAATATGCTAATTGTGTCCTAGGCAGAAGAGCGGGACGCTCTCTGTGGCAGGGATCAAGCATCTGTGTTGCTCATTCCCACCTGAGACTGCAGCAACACAAACTTTCCTTTTCCTGTATTTTTCAGCACCTGAAATGTTTAACCCCACCAAACCCCCCGGCTATTCCTTCGCTGTGGACTGGTGGTCGCTGGGAATCACTGCCTACGAGCTGCTCCGCACCCGGGTACCGTGCAACGCTCCTGCCCCCGCACAGCTCCCTCCTTAGATGCTGCTGGAAAGGTTCATGCTTTGTGCTGGGGATGAGAGGGCAGAGCCGCATTCAAGGCTTTGAGGGTTACTGCAGCATAGGAAGCAGAAACCACCTCTTCCCAGAGCTCCTGGGATCACAGCTCAGAGAGCAAAGAGCCGGTGGCGGCAGCGCCCGGGGCCGCGGGGCTGGGGGAGCCGGGCAAGGCCAACCGAGCTGGTGCCCGAGCGCAGCTCCCCAGGCTCGGGCTGCCGTGGGAGTGACTGAGCTCCCGTTCTGCTAGGAAAAGAGAAAATCTGAAAAGCAAACGTTGTAGCTGTTGTGATAAGACTGAGCAGTCCAAGCAGAAGCAAACCTGACCTGTAAATCAACACTAAAGCATAAGCCCTGCCTGTCAGGGCAGCGTTCTGTTGCTGACTCAGGTGGGGCTGGAGCCTTCTGCACAGAGGGTGAGATTGGTGTCTTGCAAATGTTGGGTAAAAAAAGTGGGACAAAGTTGTTCAAAATGCATTCTTCTAAGCAAAAGGTTGATTGAAATCTTGTGAAGCTAGGAGTCTTCTTTCAGTATGAGTAAGCAAAACACATTTTTAAATAACTATCATCAATCTTTGAAGAATGCCTAAAAATAATATTTTTAAAATATAAAGAACAGAATTTTAGATTAATTTGAATATCTCAAATTGTAAGTGATCAAGTTAGTAGGCACTAAGGGGACATGGTTGTCTGACCTGTAGGGTAACTGAAGCCATGTGCCCTCTGTAAACATACTAATATAGTATTTGAGTTTTCCATTTGTAATGTTAAAATGGCAGGAATGGTCATCACAGTGATTTTTACTTGATGGCACTGTTACCAAAGATGGGACTAGAAATGCTGTTAGGTGTTCAAACCTGCAGGCACAGCCATAAGATGGTGGCACCGGTGGTGGTCACTGCATGGGGGAAGTGAAGGGAGGCTGTGAGGTCGATCTAGTGTTGGTACACTCTAAGCACAATGCACCTGATTTCATCTTTCAATTTATACCTACAATTTAAAAAATGTGCTCCTAGCACCATCACCCCTCAGTCTGGCCCCACTCCTGCCACCTGTTGCTGTGACACCAGGCAGGAGGGACAGGCCAGGACTCCTAACTCTTCTCAGGACTTGATTTTTTCAGTTGATTTGATAGGTGGGAGAAATCCTGATCCTTCTCACTTCTGTTGTCTCTGGCATGGGTGAAGAGCTGAAAGCATTCTGAGCTGCCACACAGAGTGGCACATTTTACAAGGAATACTGGGAATGCTCTAACCATGGCATCATATATATAAAATCCTTTGACAGCCCCTTAAGATAAAAATATTGCAAAGGCCAAGCAAACACAAACTGGCCGATGGCTCCAGATTTTTGGGTTCTGCATCCCTCCTGTCACACTGTTTAATATCTAGTTGGTATCAGTGTTCTTGTGGACAAGATTATTTTGGTTGTTTCACTTGTGCTAGAGTCACACAGGGAGAGGCTTTCAATAGAAGGCTTGGGGATGTACAAAGAGACTTTGTTTGAAGCTTTTTTGCTCTAAAAAGATTTCCCAGAGAGACTGAAATACAGACAAAAGCCAATGCTTTCCTTGTGGTGCCGTTCACAGAGGCCGTACCACATTCGTTCCAACACCTCCCCAGCCGACATCGCCCACATCTTCAAGACAGCCACTGTGATGTACCCGGCGGCCTGGTCCTCGGAGATGGTCTCGCTGATCAAAAAGGTGGGGCTGAGCTGGGCACCTGCCAGAGCAGCTGGGTCCTGCCATCCTGCTCTGTTGATGGGGATTCATTGCAAGTTGTGGCCAGCCCCAGGGTTGGTGACTTTCATACCCAGCTTCTCCTGCTGCAGCAATAGGAACATCCCCCTGCGTCCTGGAGGGGTGGGGATGGAGTTTGTGCTGGCAAGCCTGGCTGCTGGCAGTGCATCTCCCCCAGGGACACAGGCACTCTTGCTCCCTGAGTTACTCCTGTAACTTTGCCTCTCTGCAACAACGTAACTTAGAAGTAGATATTAGTGTATGTGTAATGGAGTCTGGAAAAAAATAAATAAATAATTGCTTTTTTTTAGTTTTTTAAAACTATTTTTCCAAGTAATTAGGAGATTGACAAGAAGTGCTGATAGAAGTCCTTTGATGCCATGAGGTTAATGCACCCACTGTAGTTATTTTTTAATAAAGCTGTTAAGAAAATTGCTTCAAAATCATTACTGGAAGAATTTTGAAGCTGATATAATGTTTGAAGAGAAGCCATATTGTCAATAAATGAAACAATAGTGGCAGACACTGTCTGCATCCAGTGGCAGCAAGGCTGAATTACTAACCCTGCCTAACAGCACTAGCTGCAAATTTTGCGAAGTATGTAAGTAGTTTCCTAATTGTCAGGTAACTGTAGGCAACAAAGTAGTCCTTGATGTAGCTTTCATCTATTTCTTATTCCAAATAGTATGTAGAAGTGTTTTGTCCTCTCTAGTGAAATACTCACAAACATTTTTCATGAAAATTAGTCATCAATTCTTTGCTGAGACAGAATCAGGACATATTTTCCAAGAAGAAAATTTAAGAATATCCCCATTTGCTTAAAATAAAATTGAGCCAGTATTTCATTAAGCCCAGCAGTAATATACAGATATTTACTGTGGGTGTCCTCTGTATTGTGATGCTGGAAGCTTTTCCCTGGACCACAATGTGCCACAAGCCATACAGGCTCCCTTGTGAATCAATAATGCAACGTCACAATTGTTTACATTTCCAAGTGCCCCTTTGCATCTGGTTTAACAGCCATATGGATGATATACGAGCCCAACTGCAGTTCTGTCCTGGCTCAAACATCTCCTGTGGATTTTTGTATCTATTAACATTGCAGGCAAATTACCATTCACAGCGGAGCCGCACAACTGGCGCTGGGACTGGAGCACAGAGCTGCGGGAGGAAAGGAGCTGGGAGGGGTGTTTGTGGACCCCACCCCCCGTGCAGCCCTCCCTGCACCCAGCTGCACACCAACACGGGACAGGGCTGAGGGGTCACCTCCCACCCCGTCCGGAGGGCTTGGATCTGGCTTTCCTGCTAGATTGTTGGAGTGCATACTATCAGGAGTTTATGCAATGTTGAATCCTTAAACTTCAGAAACAAATCTCAATCATTTCCTACAGTAATGTTCAAGTAATGCCTACAGCAATGTTAAAAAAAAATGCTGAAAACAAACAGTGCAAATCCATTCTTTCACACTGGAATTATACTTATGAAAATTCCATTGCTAGAATGAGAAAACAGAGGATGTTTTACTGATACAGAATTAAATTTGGAACATAAAAGCATGAGTTTAACTCCCCATTCTGAAACAAATATGTATTTGTTAACTTGAAGAAATTGCTTCACATCAGTGTTCTGCCTCATCACCTGCTTCTAACACGAGGATAAAAGTTGTCCATGAAAGCGAGAATAAATAGGTTTAAGATTGTGAGCCCCTTGCAGGCACTGAGGAAGCAAATCTGAGCTAGAGCAGCAGCAGAGGCACCCACCTGGGGCTGGTGCTCCTGCCCAGTGTCCCCAACCCCAGTCAGCAGGGTGTCTGTGTGCACCTGCTCTCTGGTTTCTCATCTCAGGGTCTCAGTGTCTCACCTCTCCCATTTACTCCTCACTGCAGTTGCTTGAGCCAAACCCCGAGCAGCGTTTTTCTCAGCTGAAAGATATCCAGGACTTCCCATACCTGTCAGATGTGAACTGGGATGCTATTCTCCAGAAGAAGATAGTGCCAGAATTCATTCCCACGGTAAGGCATTTGATTTCAAAAGGTTCTCCTGTGTCCTCACGCCGGGTGATGGGAACTTCTTACAAACTGCCACGAGGGCATCACGTGTTGTAATGGACAGGGGAGGAGAGTCAAGGGCAGAATTTTCACTTTCCTGTGGGTATAATAAGGAACAATGGGGGATGATTACAAAGTGTGGGTGCCGCAAAATTGACCTGCTCTGTTTGTAACAGAGTTCCTGGATGCAGAACTGGTTGGACATGCTGCCCGTGGCACACAGGATGAAGCCCAGGGGCAGGGATGGTGCTGGTGAGCCCTCCTGCCCTGAGCTGCCTGTGCCCCGGCCCAGCTCTTCAGGGGCAGAGACCCAGCCCCCAGGCACAGGCAGCCTGGGGACCACCCACTATTTTATGAGAATTGTTTCTCGCTGTAATGACTTTTCCTCACAAGCTCATTGTTTACAGTAAAATAACAAATACAGTAGATTAGCATTGCTGATCCTTTTTGAATTGGACTAAAGCAGCACAGAAGCAACATAACCCCTACAGAAAATAATCAAAGGACTGTTGTGTGCCATGTTGCCCTGACAGTTTTTCAGTCAAACAAAAGTTGGGCTAAATGATGGATATTTGTTGACTGTATGTATTTTCCTCCTCTGTTGCTGGTTTATTCTGTGGTGGGTGTAGTGCGTGGCTCTAAAACCAGTTTTGCAGGCTACTGTGCTCCTTCCAGCAGAGACCCTCACTTTGAAACAGCCGAAGGACTGACTAGAAGCAGTGAGCAAAAAAGGCTGTCACCCCTTGACAATGTCCCCCGGCTGAGGGAACTGATAAAATATGTAAGAAGTAAAGCAGTTGCTCTGCTTTTATGTGTGCAGTTGTAATTAGTTTATTTTTTACAAAATTCAGCTCCTATATGCAGTGCAAGTTATGAGAAACTCTTCAAAATAGACTCTGATCACTTAAGGCAACCCAACCTCTCTCTCCCCTCCAGAAAGGCAGACTGAACTGTGACCCAACCTTTGAACTGGAAGAAATGATCCTGGAATCCAAACCTCTTCACAAGAAAAAAAAGCGCCTGGCTAAGAAGGATAAAGACACCAGCAAAAGCAATTCCTCCCAGGTGAGAGCAAGCAGGTACAAGCATATGGTCAAGGCAGTCTCCCATTTTCCAAAAAAGCCAATTGTCATCTAACAAGAGCACAGCAACCTCTTTAAACAGACACCTTTAACACCTTTTCCCTTGTGACCCACTTTATTCCCATGATTCTTCCGTATCTTCCCATGGTGGAAGGCAGCACGTACACACATTGGTTCTGTGTGAGAGGGGAGCCTTAATGCCATTCTCCCTGCTGCAGTGCTAAATATGCTCCATACCTAGAGATACCTCTGTATCTCCTTGAAATTGTTTTTGTAATGTCTTTCTGTGCAAACTGTCAATTTCTTCCCCATCTGTTTACTTTTCTATGCAAATATAAAAGGCCTGCCATCTTCAAAAGCACCTGGAGATGCTCCAGAGGGACTTCATTGTTTTCAACAGAGAAAAGTAAGTACTGACACAGAGGATCATCAGGGACTCAGGCCTTTGGCAGATGTGGTTTGGGGCCATCTCGGCCAGTGCTGCAGGTGGGGGCTTAGGAGAGCAGGTACCAGTGTGTGCTGGTTGGTCTGTCATCTGCTGGGGCGTGCCCTGGCGTTCCTGCTCCTGAGGTGGAGGGCTGGGCAGCAGCTGCCCCGTGCAGCAGGCAGTGGCTGTGGCTGTGGCAGGCGGTGGCTGTGGGGCTGGGGCCTGGGGGCTCAGCACTGCAGGGGGCCGGGGCCCTCCCGGGTGGCTGCACCCCATGTAGGCCTTGGCCCTGCCTGGGCTTCCCCCCACCCCTTAACCATCCCTTTCTCCCCCTAAGGATGAGACACCACAACACCCAGGAGACCATAACGTACAAGGACAACCAGAACTCCAGCCTCTGAGAGCAGCACAGCCCCCTCTGGAGCTCTGCTGGTGGGCCCAGCACACCCCACCCTCCTTGGAGCCGCAGACTTGGCACCCCGCGACAGTGATTTGCCACAATCACTCAGACTCAGATCCTATTATTCTGCCTTTCTTGGTGACAGGACCGTGCCCGTGTGCTGGATGACACACTCAGCACTCACCCGTGTGGCCAGCCAGCCTGCTGCCCTCACACGCCTGGCTGGGCCTGCCACGCCTCCCTCCGCCACAGCCCGGGCCACTGGCCTGGTGGGTCCTCGGCTGCTCTGAGGGTCCCGCTCTTTGGAGGCTGGGACTGAGGATGGGGTCTCAGCTGCAGGGTCTCCAGCAGCACGTGCAGACACAGGTGGCCTTTGCTTACAGACAGCTCCTGAGAGCAGCCCACGGGCACGGAGGGCTGGAAGCAGAGATGATCCCTCCCTCGGCTGTGGGAAGGCAGCACAGGTTTTCTCCCCCCTCCACGCCAGTTCCTGTGTGCGCTTCTGCCTGAGCAGCGCTGGCTGGTGAAGGTGCAGGCAGATGTGGAAGTGATGAGGTAACAACCAGGCACTGCTGCATAACCAGCAGCCAGATGCTTTTCCAGGCCAGCCTGAAAAACCCATTCAGCATCACATTAAATTGCTGCAGCTCACTAAATCAGATAGGGTTTGGCTTCCAACCTCAGAGGTAAATTTGAATGTGTATTTTTTAATCTCTCCACCATTGAAATCACACTTGGTTTAAGCAGCTACTGTTTGTAGCAACAGCTGTACTCCTGGTGTGGTCTCTGCCAAGACTGAGCTTGGCCGAAGCATCTCTATTATGGTGATGCTGGGAATGATGCAAATATTTAAATGCTTTGGCAGATGTGACATTTTACCACCCTGTTTGACATTTTTCCTGTTCTCAGCAATATAATGAATATGTGATGAACCATTTGCCTCCCATTTACCCCAAGGGGTTCTTTTTATCCACTGTCCCTTCTTGTCTTTCTCCTCTGAGGTCACGAGGCAGGAGGAACACCCATTCTGCCTTGCCCAGAGCCAACTAGGACTTTTCTGGATTCTCAGTTTAAATTTGCTGACAAAAAAATCCCCAAACCAAAACAAAACACTTGAGTACTTAAATGGTAAGAACATTGCATCTTTAAAAATTCTCCAAAGACTTCTATAACTATGTATCCTTTCCCCTCTTCCTCTGTAAACAGAGGTACAGTCCTAGCTTAATCAGTACCAGGCAACAGGGAAAAATCTACTTGATAACAGAACTTCACAAAACCTGTAAGTATGAACAGCCTTCCCCACCCGTGGCACAACTATTCTGGCATGACCCCTTAAAGGACTGCTGCATGGACAGCTTGTCCTGTCTGAGTTGCAAGCATGTAAAAATAAATATTTTAAGGTCAAATACTTAAGGAAGGAAAAAAAGTGTATTTATTTAGCACAGCCTAAATGGACACTTCATTTCTGTAATATTTAAAAAACAAGTGGGGTTTTTTTGCATGCTTTGCAAGCTTTAGAAAGCTGTGACCCTTAGCTTGATAAAAACCACTTGACAGAAGGGGAGGTGCTCACTGAAAATGGCCTCCAAGGCAGCCCCAACTGGGAAGACCCCAACAACATGTCCAGGCTGGTCTGTCACCACACGGCCAGCCCGTCCCTCCTCCAGCCCCACCACCACCCAAAGCCCCCTTTGGAGCCGCCCTGCACAGCTCACCTGCAGGGCACAGCTTTGCAGCAGCCAGGGGAAGAAAAAAGCCAACCAGCAACACAAGTAGTTTGAAGGAACAGCTGATTTTTTTTTAATAAAGTGTACAAAGTAGTAAAACTCCTTACACGAGGCGCTGTGGCAGCTATTACAGAGATGATTTGGGCTCCCCCACGGGCCTCGTGGTGAAACGCTGGGTGGAGAGGAAGCACATGGGCAGGACAGGGACCCACCTGCCCCCGCAGCTCCCGTGGACCTGCCCCCCGAGCCCCGGCCGCCCCGCCCGGTGGGTCCCGCCGGCCCACATGGG